TCAGGCCCGGTGGATTCTTTCAAAACCATTCAGGGCACTAGGACGAGCCAGAGAAGGCTGATTTTTTTCACAGATCATCTGTCTCATGTTCTACTGTCAGGATATAGTGAAAGTTTAGGCAAATATGAGAAGAAAAAAAAATTACCTACTGCAGCTTTAAGCCTGAAATTAATATGTTGATTAGAAAACTATTTACAGGACAGCATCAGCATTGAGCTTCAGAGCCATTCTTTTCTTTTAATAAAAGTTGTTATATTTATCGTTTATTAGAAAACGAGTATTGACCAAAAAATATATACTAAATTTAGTCGATTGTTTATAAATTCAAAGTCTTTCAGTGATACATTCTTGTGTGCAGTAGTAAACAGTAGTAGTAGTAACAATTCAGCCACTGTTTTTAACAGTTTTCATTATCAGAATATCCAAACATGCTGATTGATTTTGTGTTTTCTCTGATGCCACAATGTGGAACACAAAGTGGATTCTCTGTTGTTGTTGTTGTTGTTGTTGTTGTTGTTTACCTGGTTGGCGACTGCAGTCGACTGTACTGCTGCCCAGATCATCAGACATCCGAAGATCTGAGGACACATCACGTTAGTCAGTTTGTGCTTTGACAGGATTAAAAGCCCAGTAATGTATGGAGGCTAAAGTGTGTCACCAAAAACATTACATTTAAAAAGTGGACAGAGTGTAAACAGTGTAGAAGAATTAACAGAAAATTAGTTGACACATTAATAAGTAATTAATAATAAATACATAACTTTTTTAGTTTCCAACAATACCACATGAATCTGATTTCATTTGTGGAACATTTGTGTAAAATTTAGCTTTTGTTGACATGATATAGCCATAAAAAAACAAAAAAAAACTGAACTTCATTCAGTGTAAAAAAAACTTCAGTGAACAGCTGGAACCAGCTGGTAGATAATATATGTTGTGGTAACTTAATTGAAACTTGCCAAACTTGCGAAGGATAGGAAACCCTGTTTTAAAGGTTCTTCAGAGGAACTTAAGGGGCAAATCATGACTTTAAATGATACATTTATACAATTTATAACCCCTTTAAAGACATAAAATATAATTTCATTATTAATTAACATAATCTGAAGAGCTCATCATTGCTTTAAAGAGCACGTTAGGCATTATGCAGTTTTTAAAGGGCTTTAAAGTGACAGTTAAACAGCATTCAGATTGTCTTTAGCTCCAGTATGTGACACATTTCTGAGCAAAACTTAATATGTGGATGAAGATTTTTCCTGAAATCCAAAAATTAACCTCCTCCTATGATGTTACTCTGTTAGCCGCTGGTCAAAAGCAGTTTTTATTAAATTTATGTTTTGAAATTTACAGTAAAATAGATGGATTTGGATTTAAAAACTACTCAAAAAATGACACACATAGGAAAATAAGCATCAAAAGTGTATTTACTCTGTATTATCTCATTCAGCATTATATTTGTACTAGTGCATGCTGGGTGGTTTTTTAATTTCCTCTCACTGTAATTTCTGCACCCAGACACTAGAGGGAGACAGAGCTCTACTAACTGAACACCATGGAAGACCTGAAGACAGTTGCGAATACACACTATATGAGATATAAGATGTTTAACTTATATAATATAATTAAATATCTTTAAATAAATAGAATGTAATTATAATCTATAGGATCTACAATTTTTTAGTCTTAAATCCCATTTAGTTGTATTCTATTGCACAAATGTGGTTCTTTTTGCAATAAAGTGACACTTTTCTTGTTTTTTTAAAATTTTCTCTGCAAAAAAAAAACACATTTAATCTTCCTCAAACTGAACCGAACACCAGAAACCAGTCAAACAGCTCACCTGAAGACGGCTGCAAACACCCACACACACTATAAACTTAACTAAATTAATCTAATGTAATTGTAACCTATAGGATGAAATTTAAATAAAGAAAGAAAAATAAGCCAGTATCTGGAAATACAGTTGAAAAATGTTTTTTTTTTTATTTTAACCACATTAAATTCTCTTGCACAACTTTGTACGTTTTTTTGCGATGAAGAGACACTTTTCCTCTTGTTTTGTGCAAAAAAATGCTCGTTAATGTTAAAACAAACTCTTCAAACTCCGCCTTTTTTACATTACCCCCCTTTTTTTATTATTTCCCATCAGCTCTCGGGGCTGAAAACATGTCCCATCTGCAGCAGAAAGGAATGAAACCTCATTAGATTGAAAAAAAGAGGCGAGAAGGTGGGCGGCCTGAAATATGAACCTGTTTTCTAATGCAGAGATTTGTCTCTCACTCCCCC